CAGCTCTTTCGGTTTTTAAAATGTGAAGTTGTTCAGTTTGGAATGGAGAACAGAAGAACAGATCATTTAGATGGAGAACAACTGCAGAAATCTGCAACACAGCAGGACTTGGGGGAATTTGTGCACAAAACAGAAAGCTAGCACACAGGTGCAGCAGATAATCATGAAGGCTAACGGAATGTTGGCCCTTATTTCAAAGTTGTTGAAATATAAAAGTAGAGGAGTCATACTGCAACTGTACAAGGTGCTGATGAGATCACTTCTGGAGTACTGAGAGTAGTTTTGGTCCCCTTATTTAAAACAGAAGTGTCCTGGAATTCCCTCCCTAATGGAATTGTGGGTCAACTCACAGCGGGTGGACTGCAGTGGCTCAAGAAAACAACTCACCACCATCTTCTCAAAGGACAAGACAATAAATGCTGGCCAGCCAGCGTGCCCACATTCCACAAAATGAATAAATCAAAAGAAAAAAAAAAAATTCATTGGAGACAATTCAGAGAAAGTTCACCAGGATAATCCCCAGTATTGGAGGGATTGTCTTATGTGCAAAGGTTAAGTAGGTTGGGACTCTACTCACTAGAGTTCAGAAGAACGAGAAGTAATCTCATTGAATCATATTGAATTCTTAAGGGGCTTGACAGGGTGAATGCTGAGAGAATGTTTCCCCTCATGGGAGAGTCTAGGGTCAGAGGGCATCACCTCAGAATAAAGGAGCACTAATTTAACACTGAGATGGGGAGGAACCTCTTCACTCAGACAGTTAAAAATCTTTGGACATTCTTGCAACTGAGAGTTGTTGAGCGGAGAGCCCTAGTTTATATTCATGGCCAAAATAGATTTTTGATCAGTAGGGGCAATCTGGGGTTACGGGAAAAGAGCAGAAAAATGGATGTGATGAATTTTGGATCAGCTATGGTCCTAATCTGCAGCAGGCTTAACCAGCCAAATGGTCTAATCCTGTTTCTATTTCTCATACTCTTATAGAGTAGTGGGACTAGAGTAACTTCTCCTCTCTCAGGCAACAATATTAGCACATGAAACATCTCCAAGATGTTTGACTGAGGGGATGTTGTACTAACATATACAACCTTACCTTGCACCACATGTATTGTGCCTATTACACATCCTGCCTTTATCCTTCAGTGACACAGATCATAGGGAATGCTAGGTCATGAAGGTTTCCTGCAACGTCCAATCATCATATTTGAAGGCAATACCAGACAATCCCAGCATAAATCTTGGCTTGACAAGCCTTAAGTTTTATTTCTGCAATTTGTTTACTGTAGTAATCATTCTGTGAACATATTCACAAGAAGCAGCCAATGTACTTGTTATAAAAGAACAACAATGTTTATTATACACAAATAAAAAGGAAAATAAACCAATTATATAGTACTAGTCAACGCCTCGCCATAAACCTTGAAATAAGAGTTCAAACCTTTTGCCCTCTACAATAATCTTAGAGATACTCACACTCGAGTAAAGGGTCCCCACTTCAAAATTCGTTGTTTACAGGGAACTATACGTCGATCAGGAACAGAAACAAAGTTGCTGGAAAAGCTCAGCAAGTCTGGCAGCATTTGTGGAGGAGAAAACACAGTTAACATTTTGGGTCCGGTGACCCTTCCTCAGAACATCACCGGACCCGAAACATTAACTCTGTTTTCTCCTCCACAAATGCTGCCAGACATGCTGAGCTTTTCCAGCAACTTTGTTTCTGTTCCTGATTTACAGCATCCACAGTTCTTTTGGTTTTTAACTATATGTTGATCTTATATTCCACAAGACAACTGTTTTTCCACACTCTTAAGCGAAAGCTTTATGTCAGTGAGACACACTCCATTAAAAAAAACCTCAACCGCTTTCTGCATACAAAAAAATTCCACAGATGATCACTCTGGGTGAATAGATTTCTCATTTCAGTCTAAGTCGTCTTTTGGACCAGCCTTCTATGGCCCTTCAGCCCACCATGTCTATGCCAGCCAACAAACACCAAACTACACTAATGCCATTTACTTGCACTTGGTCCATAGCTTACTGTGCCCTGGCATTTTAAGCGTTAATCCAGATGCTTCTTAAATGTTGCATGAGCACCTGCCTCTACCAACCTTTCAGGCAGTACATTCCATATTTCTGAGAATAACAAGGTGTAGAGCGGATGAACACAGCGGGCCAAGCTGCATTAGAGGAGCAGGAAAGCTGACGTTTCGGGTCTGGACCCTTCTTCACAAATGGGGGAGGGAAAGGGGCTTCTGAAATAAATAGGGACAGAGGGGGATGCGGATGGAAGATGGATAAAGGAGCAGTTAGGTGGAGAGGAGACGGACAGGTCAAGAAGGCGGGGATGGAGCTAGGAAAGGCGAGTGTAGGTGGGGAGTTAGGGTGGGGATTCGTCAGTCCAGGGAAGCGGACATTCCATATTTCTACCACTTTCTGGGTGAAAGAATTTTCCTTCAGATCTCCACTAAACCACTCGCTCTGCATATCAAGCTATGCCTTCTGGTCTTAAACACATCTGCTATAGGGAAAAGATTCTCATTACGTACACTATCTACATCTTGCATAATTTTGTATATCTCAATCAAATGACCTGACAGCTTCCTCTCTTACAAGGAAAGAAAAAAAGTCCTATCTTGTCACTCCTCATAATTGAAACTTTATATTCCAGATAACATTTTAGTGAATCTGCTCTGCACCCTCACCACTGCAATCCAGTCTTTCCAACAATGTGACGACCAGAACTGTAAACAGTATTCCATTTGTGGCCCAATCAATGTTCATAAAGTTGTAACAAGACTTCCTTGCTCCTGTATTCTATGCCCCGGCTAATGAAGGCAAGCATTTCGTCTGTCTTCTTCACCTCTGTCTACCTGTGTTGACACCTTCAGAGATATATGGACATGTATAAAAAGGTCCCTTAGTTCCTCAGCACTCCCTTGGCGACCGACTGTACATTGTGTATATCCTTCCCATATTAGACCTCCCAAAATACATCACCTTGCACTTATCAGGATTTCATTCCATCTCCCATTGCTCTGCCCAATTTACCAGTTAATCAATATTAGACTATAGCCTGAGACCATTCTCCTTACTATCAACAACACCATCAGTTTTTATGTCATCTTCAAACTTACTGATTATACCTTTTTCCAGAGTGGGGGACTCAGTTACTAGGAGTCACGATTTCAAGGTGAGAGGGGAAAAGTTTAAGGGAGATATGCATGGAAAGTTCTTTACGCAGAGGGTGGTGGGTGCCTGGAACACGTTGCCAGCGGAGGTGGTAGAGGCAGGCACGATAGCGTCATTTAAGATGTATCTAGACAGATACATGAATGGGCAGGGAGCAGAGGGATACAGATCCTTGGAAAATAGGCGACAGGTTTAGGTAGAGGATCTGGATCGGCACAGGCTTGGAGGGCCGAAGGGCCTGTTCCTGTGCTGTAATTTTCTTTGTTCTATAACAAACAGCAAGGGTCCCAGCACCTATCCCTGTGGTATACCACTGGTCACAGGCTTCCAACCACAAAAAAACCCGAGAACATCACCCAATGCTTCCTGTTTGTAAACCAATTTTGGATCCAATTTGCTAACTTGCCTTGAATCCCAACAGCTATAACCTTTTGGACCAGCCTTCCATGTGGGACCACGTGTCCTAAACAGGCACCTGATAAGAATTAAACTGTGAGCCCTGGTTCTGGAATCAGGCAATATTATTGGTCCTTCATCTTTGAAACTCCCATCTTCCAACTTTGTGGAAGCACCAGTTCAACAACTACAGCTATTCAGTAAGGCATACCACTACCACCTTCACAGAACATCTTGAGATAAATGCTGGTCTTGCGTAGAATTTGAGAACAAATTAAAGCAAATGGGGCTTGGAACATGCACATGGCACAACTGAAAGTGCTACAGCATTTCAAACCTCAATGGAGAAAAGACCACATGGAAGATGACAGGTGATACCATGAATGTCAAGATGGAAAAATGCTATCAAGCCAATGGAAATGACAAACAGCAGTGGAGCCTACGTAAGAAACCACATGTTGTATACCTTCACGGGAAGCAATTTTTAAATTACCACAGATCAGAGAGAACACGCACGATCCTTTGATCAAAATCTTTGAACTACATTAAGGAGCACAGTCTCCTTGTGGTAATGTGGACTGCAGGAGCAAATCATCGAATAGGTTTACAAGAAGATGACAGGAAGGAGGGAGGGAGAGAGAGATGAGGGAGGGAGAGAGAGATGAGGGAGGGAGAGAGAGATGAGGGAGGGAGAGAGAGATGAGGGAGGGAGAGAGAGATGAGGGAGGGAGAGAGAGATGAGGGAGGGAGAGAGAGAGAGGGAGGGGGGGGGGGAAGAGAGAGAGAGAGAGTGGTGGGGAAGAGAGAGAGAGAGAGAGAGTGGTGGGGAAGAGAGAGAAAGGAGTGATTTGAAAACTGAATAAGAACTCTGGTTCCATCCAGACCCACGTTGGAAGTTTCGAGAATAGCATTTCCGCCCGCCCTCGTTGCCTCGCTTCAAACGAAAATTGTTGACTCGACCAAAACACGAGTTAAAACACCCGCAAAAACAACAGTCAAACAGACCTGGTCCGTTTCATCGAGATCTGGAAGCGACCTCTTATTCCCTGTAGTTTTGCTGCTCCTGTCCCCGACCACTGACATGCTCTCAGCCGCCATCTTACTACAGGAGCCGCAGTGCGGGATAGGTCAGAGGTTAAGTCAACGCATTGACGTCGCGAGGACACAGGACGAAAGCACCGTGCACGTTGAGGAGGCGGGGATGGGAAAGGAAACGGTGATTGGCCCGTTAGCCTGAAGGTTAAAGGTTAAAGGGGGATTTTTTCACGCTTTTTTAACAAAACGGACCTTACAAGTTCCAGCAGATAAGCGAATGGGTTTGTTTTTGATGCGGTGAGGAGGGGAAAATGAGATTTTTCAAACGGTGAGGTAAATGAAGGCTGTGTTTTGCGTGGTGGGTGGTTTGGTGGGGGAGGGGCACGGAAAGACTGCGTGAGGAAGATGGCAGCGGTTGCCGTGGAGTGTGCCGCTGCGGGATAAGGTGTCGTTTTGGAGATCGCATTTTGTTCAGTAGATTCCTTCCATTCTACGCCCCACTTCGTTCCCTTTCTCTCACTGAGCGGATGAGAACACCTTTCCCTTGCGGTCCAAGCCTGGGTCCTTGAATACTGAGGCCAGCCAGCGGCTTGTTTCCCTGCCCCAGTTTCTCCTCGGCTTGGGGGCTTGACATCCGCTGCCTGCCCGGTCGGCCCCGGCCGCGTCTCCGGATGGACGCGCACGGCAGCAACGTGCCCGCTTTCCTCACCAAACTATGGACTTTAATCGAGGATCCTGACACCAATGACCTGATCTGCTGGAGTGCGGTAAGTAAATCAGAGGCCCAGGAAGCCTTGAGCAAGGCCTCATTTAAAGAAAACACACGCACAAGGGGGCGTGGGCTTTAAATAAACATAGGTTCTTAAATAGCTTGCGAAAAGGATGAAATGCTACCGTCCTGTATCACTTTCTTAAAAGAAAAAGTGCATTTTATTATCTGACAAGAGTAACTTTATTAAGTCGATCTGTGTTTTGAAGTAATATTTAAAAACGCTAGATCATCATTACTTGTCAAAGTGATAAGTTTTGTGGGCAAGGTTGTTTGTGTTTACGTTGTTTAAAAGAGTTGGTTTATTTAAGCTATAATCCCATGCTTTAAATATTATTTACCACACTTCATTATGTCTGAATCCACTGCTGAGTGGTAGTGGCCTCTCTGAATTTTGCACTGATACTGTGGTGAATGGCCTACTCCAGTTCTCATCCTTGTTTCCTACTTGTGTAAGCAAGAATAAACGTGCAAATAATCAAAGGTTAAACTCAGACAGTGTATTGCAGTGATAGACAACTCAAAGACAGCATAGTAGTTTGCACTACTGCCTCAGCGCCAAAGACCCAGGTTTGATTCCACCCTTGAGTGACTGTGTGGAGTTTGTGCATTCTCCACATATCTGCACGGATGCTCCGGTTTCCTCCCACGGACCAAAGATATGTAGGTCAGGTGGATTGCCTACGCTAAAAATTGCCCTGTAATGTCCAAGGATGTGCAGCTTAAGTGGGTTAAAAATCCCTGGTTAAAAACCCCATGTGGGATTACAGGGATAGGGTTGTGGAGGTGGGTCTGCGTGGGATACTATTCAAAGTTGGTGCAGACTCGGTGGACTAAATGGCCTCTTTCTGCGCTATAGGGATTCTGTGATTCTAAGGCAACAGTGTATTTTCAAAGATCTGTTTATCCTTGGAGCAGTCCACATACTTGGCATACAGATGCTTTTCCATCACAAAATAATGCTGGACCTTGCTGCAAAAAGATGCTCACAACCTTTTCAAGGGAATCAATACTGCCCTTTTCAATGACACCCATGGAATGATTTATGTAAAAGCTTAATGACCTTGCAATTCCTGATGGACATTGACTTCCTAAAGCCAGTCAACCATCCAGAAGGTGCAAGTCAGGAGTGTGATGGAATACTCTCCACGTGCCTGGACCTGTGCAGCTCTGACAACACTCAAACTTAATACTGTCCAGGACAAAGCAGCCTGCTTGATTGACACTACATTCACAAATGTCCACTCCCACCATCACCACTCAGTAACAGCAGTATGTATGATCTACCAGATGCAGTGCAGCAACTCATTAAGCCTCCTTGGAAGTACCTTCCAAACCCATGATCTCCACCACCTCGAAGGACAAGGGCAGCAGATAAATAAGAACTTGCCAGTTCCCTTCCCAAACATACCATCCTGTCTTGGAACTAGATTGCTGTTCCTTCACTCTCTCTGAGTCAAAAGTCTGGAACTCCCTTCTTAACAGCGTTGTGGATGTACCTGCTCCTCAAGGGCTTCATTGAGTCAAGAAAGCAACACACTGCCACCTCTGAAGGGTCACTGACAAAGGCTATAAATGTTGACTTTGCCATCAACTCTCCTATGAATCAACAAATGACAAAAAGCAATTAGATGCGGGTTGACTTTCTGCCTGAATTGGCTCACTATTTCCAAACTAGGTCATTAGCATCAAGGCAGGGTGTTTACAATTTATAATATTCCCAGAGAATTGGTAATCCTAATGTGGCAAATTACTGCTGCTGAGTCGAAGGAGGTTGACAAGCCAGTCCAACTTGACTTTCTTTTTTGTATGAGTTGTATATGTGTATTGTGATCTAATCCAACCTTCTAAAAGTAATATTGAAGAATAATGTACATCTGCATCAGTAAGGCAGACATTTAGCAGGATACCTGGCTGTTGGTGTCACTCAATTGTCATAGTCAGAGATGTACAACACAGAAACAGACCCATTGGTCCAACTCGTCCATGCCAACCGGATATCCCAAATAAATCCTGTCTCATTTGGCCTATTTCCCTCTAAACCCTTCCTAATCATATACCAATCCAGATGTCTTTTTAAATGTTGTAATTGTACCACTCTCCTCCACTTCCTCTGAAAGCTCATTCCATACACGCCCCACCCTCTGCGTGAAAAAGTTGCCCCTCGGGTCCCTTTGAAATCTTTCCACTCTCTCCTTAAATCTAGTTTTGGACTCTCCCACCCAAGGGAAAAGACTTTATCTGTTTACCCTTTCCATGCCCCCCATGATTTTATAACCTCTGTAAGGTCACCCCTCAGACTCCGATGCTCCAGGAAGTATAGTCCCAGTCTATTCAGCCTCTCCCTATAACTCAAACCCTCCAACGTGGCAACATCTTTGTAAATCTTTTCTGAACCCTTTCTAGTTTCACAACATCCTTCCCATAGCAGGGAGACCAAATTTGCATGCAGTATTCCAAAAATGGCCTAACCAATATCCTGTACAGGGGCAACATGATATCAATGCACCGACCAAAAAGGCAAGTACACCAAACACCCCCTTCACTATCCTACCTATCTGCGACTCCACTTTCAAGGAACTATGAACCTGCACTCCAAGGTCTCTTTATTCAGCAACACTCCCCAGGACCTTACCATTTAAATGTATAAGTCCTGCCTTCGCACTTATCTAAATTAAACGCCATCTGTCACTCCTCGGCCCATTGACCCATCTGATCCCATTGTACTCTTGAGCTAACCTTCTTTGCTGTCCATTACACCTCCAATTTTGGTGTTATCTGCAAACTTACTCCTATGTTCACATCCAAATCATTTATAAAAATGATGAAAAGCGGTGGACCCAGCACCAATCCTTATGGCATACTGCAGGTCACGGGCCTCCAGTCTGAAAAGCAACCATCCCCCACGACCGTCTTTCGTCTACCTTCGGGCTAGTTCTATATCCAAACTGGTTCTGTTTGTTTTTCCTGATGTTGACACTGTTGCAAGTCACATCCATCCATTCAGTCTGAATTTTGCAAACAAAAAAGGGAGTTGGCACCCGTTGGAGCTTTCAAAGTAAATGATTTGAAGTTGAGTTTAGCACAGTCTTTGAGAATTGCAGCTCGATATTAAAGCAGATTTCTGTCACAATCAATCTGACTAACTGCAGTGGTGAAACAGGACATTGAGATCTCTCAGCAACAGAAAGTAGTTTGGAATTATAGGAACACAAGATGAAGCTCATTAGTGGTTACATGCTCTTTACATGGTTTAGTTCTGTTAACTGCACTGTTAAGTTGAAGAAAACAAGTGCAAAGAACTCTATTAAAATATCCCAGGGCTATGGAGAGAGAAGAAAGGAATGTTGGCCAGTAGAGAACCTAGGTCAAAAGCTTTCTTTGGATACTGCGCTTGGGCATATGTTTTGGACCACAATCATGGTGCAGCAAAAGTGAACACACTGCATTTCATGCACTACCTCCTTTGATTCTATAAATACAGTTGTTAAATAAGCATTGACAAACAAAAATTGGTGAATAAACTCTGAATGCAACTTTTTTTATTCATTCACGGGATGAGGATGTCGCTGGCCAGGCCAGCATTTATTGCCCATCTCTGATTGCCCAGAGGGCATTTTAGAATCAACCACACTGCTGTGGGTCTGGAGTCATGTGTAGGCCAGACCACGCAAGGATGGCAGATTTTCTTTCCTAAAGGACATTAGTGAACTAGATAGTTAGTTAGTTATTTTTCTGCCAGTTGACAATGGATTCACGGTCATCATTAACATTGAATTCAGTAGAGAGAGATGAACACAGCAGGCCAAGCAGCATCAGAGGAGCAGGAAGGCTGACGTTTCGGGCCTAGACCCTTCAGAAATTATCTCGGAACTCTCCAGCATCTGCAGTTCCTACTATCTCAGTAGAGAGAGTCTGGAATTCAAATTCCACCATATGCCATAGCCGGACTCGAACCCAGGTCCCCAGAACCTTACCTGGGTCTCTGGGTTAACGGGTCTCTGGGTTAACAGAACAGCATTGAAACCTCTGGGCCATTGCCTGCCCTTCTATATGTAATAGATTATGTACAATGGAAACAGTAAATGGATTAATCACTTAAAATATTGCCTGATCCAGCAACTTATGTTGCTCATATTTGCAATGCACAGATGTAAGAAAAATTGATTTCAGTAGCTTGATGCTTCCACTAACTATCTTTGCAGCAATTAATCTCTAAGGGGTTATGGAAATATGAACAAGGACGTGGAGTAGGTCATTCACTAAGATCATGGTTGATCTGATTGTAAGTTCTAATATCTCTTCCCTCCCGCAACAACAGTAGGGTTCCCCCAGACCTTGCTTACCACCCCACCAGCATCCACGTCTAGAATATCATCAGATGCCATTTTTGCCACCTCCAACAGAATGCCACTGTACATTTGCCACCTCCCCCTCCCCCCTGCCAAACCCCCGACTCTCTTGTCTGCCTGCAGGGACCATTCCCTCCAGGGCACACTGGTCCACTCTTCCTTCACTCCCACCACAGCTCCACGGCACCTTCCCCTGCAACCGCCAAAGGTGTAACACCTGCCCATTTATCTTCTCCCTCCCCAGTATCCAAGGGCCCAAACATACCTTCCAGGTGAAGCAGCACTTTACCTGCATTTCCCACAATCTAGTCTACTGCATTCGCCGTTCAAAATGTGGTGTCCTGTACATTGGGGAAATGAAGCATAGACTGGGTGATTGATTTGCAGAACATCTAGGTTCTGCCTGCAAAAAAGACCCTGAGTTTCCAATTGCCTGCCATGTTAGAACACCACCGGGTTCCCTGACCAACATCTCTGTATCAGGCTTACTGCAGTGTTCCAGCAAAGCTTAGCGCAAGCTGGAAGAACAACACCACGTTTTGGGACATGGAACAGTACTGCAGAGTACAGGCCCTTCGGCCCACGATGTTGTGCCGACCTATTATCCTATTCTAAGATCAAACTGCCCTGCGTATCCTACATTTTA